TTTGTATCCACCAGTGCTTAGCACAGGCATTTCATAAATGTTTATTGATTGATTCATTGGTCAGAGGCACCTTTTATCATAACAAACAAATGGAAACAAAGTAGAGGCTCATTGATTAGGGAATGGTTAAACAAACTATAGGACATGGACATGGCACCCCCTGAACTATCCCTTTAACTCACATTCACAAAATAGGCTTCCCAGGTAATGACTGACCCAGATTCAAGGTCTTCTGCTCCTAAAATTTTCAATTCAAGGTCCTACTCCTAAATTTTAGCTTATGAGACTCTACCAGTTGACCTTTACAAAAGACAGAGTACATGATTAGCTCAAAGCAAAGACATTGATAGAAATGGCATATAAGATGAGAGAGGTGACAGCAGAACATCTACCCTATCAACTTGGGACACACCCCACCAAAACTCAATCTAGCCCCCACAGGGCAAGCAGCTGCACATATAGCGGGACACATCGACGAAGAAGATTGAGGCCCAGGCATGGGTGTAGAAGGGCATTTCACGCCTTCAGTCTTGCAGTAATAAGGAAGACCTTTGGTCTCCTCACCATCTTGTTCATATAGTCTCCACCCAACTCTGCTGGTCATTGTTTGGCTCTATTCTTCACCACTTCTAGCTACTGGTTTGACTACATGTGGAATCCTTGGTGGCTTTTGTGATCCAAGTAAGCATTACACGAGAGCCACATGGACAGTCTTCTCCATCTCCAACAGGCAGGATCACAGATCTGGGCACCATGCTTCCTTTACTTCTTGAATCTCTCTATGCAGAAGATTGGGATTCAGGAAACAATATCTTCAAATTCTCCTCTTAGGCTGAATGCAAGTAAATACAAGCATAGACATCTAGGTGGTATAGTGGATCAAGTGCTAGACTTGCAGTCAGGAAGACGTGAGTTCAAATCCTGCCTTGGATACTTAACAGTGACTATGTGGTCCTGGTCAAGTCACAACCTCTCACCTTCAGTTTCCTCATCTGTAAAATAGGGATGATAATAGCACCTACATCCCACTTAAACAGTATATATCTTAAATGTACACAATTGTTTGCATGTGTCTTTCTCCATTAGAATATGATCTCCCTGAGGCAAGGACCTGAGTTTGAATATTTCCTTACACACTTACTTGCTATGTCCTTTTAAACTCTTTCAGTATTAGTTTCCTCATCTGTAAAATGAGGATAATAAAGAGATATTTGTAAAGTGCCATATAAATGCTATTATTATCACAAACATACTCAGGCTCTCCAACCCTTCTATTCATACACACACACACACACACACACACACACACACACACACACACCCTGGATGTCTTACTGATACCTCAAAGTCAACATATCCAAAACCAAAAGGCCTTGTTTCTTTGATATATAAGGAACTGGTTTAAATTTATAAGAATAAGAGCCATTACCTAATTGATAAACGGTTAAAAGATATAAACACAGTTCTCAAATGAAGAAATCTTAGCTGTTAGAATCCTAATAAAGCTGCCCCCAGCCTCAATATTCTAATGTCCTTATGGGCCTCACTGAACAGCAGGCATGTCCTGATTTGATCATATAATCTGGCTTTAATCACACCACAGTCCCCCAGACCCAATATGCCAAATATGCCTCACTAGAACAGCAGGCACGTCCATGTGATGGAATATTAGCCACTGCCTCTAGCTAGCCACTGCCCCCAGACACAATTCTCATATTTCTCACAGAAACAGCAGGTGTATCCATGCACTCAAACATAACCACATTTGTCTAATCTCAGGACGACAACAGCCAGCCAATCAGAAAGCAGCACCACCAGGATGCCTGAGCAGGATGTGGACCCCAAAACAATAGAACAGACTTTCCCTAAGTAGGCACCTGTGCAGTAATAGCAAAAACTGCCCTTTAGGTGAACTTATGACAGAGAGAACCTTATTATAATATTATCATACATACATATGCCCCCAAAAGGGTTTTTCTGCATGCATTGTGGGTAATCTCATGCACAGTTCCACTGAGGTTGGGATCCCTTCTCTATTGCCTAATCCCTTAACAATCCCCTTAACAAGAATATTCATATATTCTATAATGATGTAATTGCATCTTTTGCCCTATAAAAATCCCTATCTTGCTTTCACTAAGCTGCCAGTTCCTTCCTGAAATGTAGCCCACTTCCTGAGAGGTGTTATCCTCAATAAATGCTTTTACTTGGGTTGGAGATGGTCTGAGTCTGTGAATTCTTTCAAGATGACCCCACAACATACTATGAAACCGCAACATAAGCTATCAACAGGCAAATGGAAGATGCTTTAAATCACTAATAATTAGAGAAAAGAAAACTAAAACAACTCTGGGGTTCTGAGGTTTCCATCAAATGGACAAAGTTGACAAAAAAGCAAATGAAAGTTGCTGAAAGGCTGTGGGAAGACAGGCATATTAATGCACATTCTACTAAGGGGATGTCCATCAGTTAGGAAAATTATGTCGTATGAATAGAATGGCATGAATAGAGCCCTAGATCTGGAGTCAAGAAAACCTACATTCAAACTGAGCCTCAGACACTTACTAGCTGCACGACCTTGGGGCAAATTGCATAATCTGTATTTGTTTCCATTTCCTAAACTGTAAAATGCAGAGCATAACAGAATTTATCTAATAGAGTTATTATCAGAATTAAATGAGATAATATTTGTCAAAGACTTAGCACAGTATGTAGAATACAGTTGGCACTAATTAAATGCTTGTTCCCTAGCTCGCAGTGTTATTCTGAGGATCAAATGAAATTATTATATGTAAAGCTCTTTACAAACCTTAAAGAGCTATATAAATAATAGCTATTAATTATTAGTGTGCCAAAAGATACATTTTCAGAGAAACCTGGGGAAGACGTATCAACTAATACAGAGTGAAGTGGGCAGAACCAGGAGAATAATTTATATAATAGTACCATTGTTTAAAAAACAACTTTGAAAGACTTAAGAACTCTGATCAGTGTAATAACCAACCATGATTGTAGATTAATGTTATATACCTCCTGCCAAAGAAGTGATAAACTCAAGGTGTGGAATAAGTAAAAAACAACTTTGAAAGACTTAAGAACTCTGATCAGTGTAATAACCAACCATGATTGTAGATTAATGTTATATACCTCCTGCCAAAGAAGTGATAAACTCAAGGTGTGGAATAAGCAATATGCTTTTAGACGTGGACATTGCAGGAATTTGTTTCGCTTGATCATGTATATCTGTTTAAAAGAGTTTCACTTTTATTATTTTCAGTGGAGGGAGGTAGAAGAAAATAGATGCTTATTACTTGAAAATGTTAATTAAAAAAAACTAAGTTCCTTATTTTCCTTTTCAACTGCTCCTCTTTTTGACTTCATAATTTCATTTTAAAAAACTTCATTTTTTCCAATTACATATAAAAACAATTTTTTAACATTTTTTTTAAAATTTTGTGTTCCAAATTCTCTCCCTCATTTCCTCTCCTCCCCCTCATTGAGAAGGCAAGCTATTTTATATTGATTATACATGTGTAATCATGTAAAATGTACTTCCATGTTTGGCTTCATAGTTTCTATCTGTCACCATCATTCATATGGTTTCCAGTGCCTGGCACATAATACTTTTTGAATAAATGCTTGGTTGACTGACTGAATTGGGCTTGTCTTTGACTTTTTCCTCTGCATCACTGCTCATCCATTCAGTACCATCAATTCCATCTCTAGAACATTTCTTCCCCTTCATATTTCTCATCCCACTTGGTTTTGTGACTCTCCAATGCCTTTACTGAGCCAGCTTCAAAGGCTCCAGATATCCAGTTATTAAATTTTCAATGTGAGCATTTACTGCTCAAAAATCCACAGACACTATAAATCATGATTCAAATGATTGTTTTGTCCGTTGTCTAGACTTAAGAAAGTGTTGGGGGGAAATGTTAATAATGCATATTAAATTGTAAAATTTTTTTAGGGGCAGCTAGGTGGTGCAGTGCACCAGCACTGAAGTCAGGAGCACCTGAGTTCAAATCTGACCTCAGACCAAACACTTAACACTTACTAGCTGTGTGACTCTGGGCAAGTCACTTAACCCCAATTGCCTAAAAGAAAAAAGAAAAAATATATATTTTTTATTCTGAACTTAAGAAATAAAACAAGAATTTCCATAACATAGTAGAATAGGGGGGGAAAGATGATTGTACATAAAACTGCAAATCTATTATGCAGATTAAATTTAAAAGTGTGTCATGTCATACATTTGTCAAACATTTACCAGGTCACTGAGGATAAACTTTGTATCTATCTCCCCAAGCACCTTGGAATACTGTTTTGTACATATTACCTCCAAAAATGTGTTCTATTTCTCTGACTCCCTTAATGTTTTTTTCTATGTTGTGAGACTTCTCTCTTCCTTCTCTCCTTCCATCCAAATCTTAAACTATTCTTTCTCATGATTTAAAATGGGACCAGAAAGAAAATGATGGCTTTCATTTTGGGTGTCCAGGATCATGGATGCTAATTGTTATGGAAATATAGAAAATGAGGGAGGGGGGACAGAGATGACCACAATTTTTCTTTTCCTATATTTTTATGATACTTTGTTTTTATTTCATTTCTTAGTATATCTCTCCTTACACCCTACCTACATACATCATATCTAAAAGCAAATGGAACATTCCACATCCATAGCCCTTCATCTCTGCAAAAAGGAGCAGAGTTCATAAAACTCACATGGTCCACCCACCTCGTTTTACCTATGAAGAAACCAAGTTCATGACTCTACCCAAGAAACTGGTGGAAGAATTGGGCATTCTAACTCAGATCCTGACACTCCCAAGTTCTGAGCTTTCTGTTGATCAGCCGTCGCCCGACATTGTAAGCTTTGTATCCGACTCGTGGGCATTGCCGGCCCGGCACTGCCCGCCGGGCGCTGGGATTGGCCACAAAGCCCCTTTATTGTGGGCCACCTGCGTCAGCACCCGGGCAGCACCCCGGGCAGCGCCCCGGGGTGCGACGGGGCTGGAGGAGCTGTCCCGGCAGAACCTGTTTTAGCGAGGGAGCGGGTGCGCGGGCGTCAGGGCTGAACAGAGCAGGCCTGATGCCTCCGCCTGCCTGGCGCTGAGGACCGGGCCATTCCCTTTGGAAGGAGACCCCTCGAGAAGGCGAACATCGGTAGGGAAGCTGTGGCAGGCTGGCTCAGGGATCCGTGTGTGTGTGTGTGTGTGTGTGTGTGTGTGTGTGTGTGTGTGTGTGTGTGTGTGTGTGTGTGTGTGTGTGTGTGTGTGTGTGCGCGCGCGCGCGCACACCAGTGCATGGTGAGGGGTCAGAAAGGCGGATCATGGACTGCTGCAGGGGCCAAGAAGAATGGGAGGGGAAAACAGAGGAAGGAGAGGGGTAGGGCTAAGGTAAATGCTGCGAGAAATTTAGGCGCCATAAGCTCACAATTGCTTTTATTCCAGTGAAGATCCTGCCTCCAAAACAAACAAAAACAATTCAAGAAAACTTCATTTAGTAAATTTCCTTAGGAAGGAACGAGATTGGGTTCTAGAAAGTGTATCCCTTTAAAGTCAAATCTGAGAGGAATAGGTAGAAATTGAAGTTTTCTTTCCGTGTATGGGAAAATTTCTTTAGAATTAGACTTTTCCCCAAAGTGAGATGTACTGCTTTGGAAGGTACGCTAGTGCTCTTTAAGAAGATCACACCATTGGGGCAGCTAGGTGGCAGTGGATAGAGCACCTGCCCTGAAGTCAGGAGGACCTGAGTTCAAATCCAGCCTCAGACACATAACACTTACTAGCTGTGTGACCCTGGGCAAGTCACTTAACCCCATTGCCTAACCAAAATAAATAAATAAATGTAAATGTGACAAAACTCCTTAAAATTTGAGAGTTGTGATTCTTCCAAAGAGCCCAGTTTTTACAATAAGAAACAACCTCAGGCAGCTGGGTGGCACACTGCACAGAAACCTGAGTTCAAACGCAGCCTCAGATACATACTAGCTGTATGACCCCGGGCAAGTCACTTAACTGATTGCCTAAAAGAAGAAGAAGAAGAGGGGGAGGAGGAGAAAGAGGAGGAGAAGAAGAAACAAATTATCTGGTTTATATTTTTATTTTATTTTTTAATGGGCAGAGTAAAGAGAAAGATAACCCCCTGCAAAAGTCACATTCCATTTGTGGCATGCCATTATCACAAAGATAGTGTGGTAATGAAAATGGGGCAGTTAGGTGGCAGAGTACTGGGCTGGGAATCAAGGAGACTCATCTTCCTGAGTTCAAATCTGGCCTCAGATACTTGTAGCTGTGTGAGCCTGGGCAAGTCTCTTAACCCTGTTTGCCTCAGTTTCCTCATCTGTAAAAGGAGCTAGACATGGAAATGGCAAACCACTGCAGTATATTTTCCAAGAAAACCCCAAAGGGGATTGTGAAGAGTTGGATACAACTGAAATGACTGAATAAAAATGGAAAATACTAAGCTAGCCCTGTCAGAGCACAACTGGAATATTGTGTTCATCAGTTCTGGGTACCACATTTTAAAAGGGACATTGACAAACCAGAGGAGACAGAACAGAATGTTGGGAGAATTGGAGACTGTGCTATACAAGGACTATTTGAAGAATTAGAAATATTTAGCCTGGAAAAGAAAAGATGGGGTCAGGCTCATAATTTGGCTGTCTTCAGGTATATGAAGGACAATCATGTGGAAGACTTGTTCCACATGGCCTTGTTAACAAGTTAGACCTAAGAGTAGTGGGTAGAAGATGAAGTTTTTCATGCAAGGGAAAATTTCCTAGTCTACCTGTCCCAAAATTAAGTAAACTTGCCTGGAAGGTAATGATGGGAACACTGTGGGACAGCCATTTCTCAGAAATATTGTGGAGGAGACTCAGGGGTGGACTGGACAAGATGGCTGCTGAGGTCTTATCCAATTTTGCAATTCTGAGTTTAGCCAGCAAGTAAATCACAGTTGGATCATTCAAACAGGGTGCAATTATTGTTAACCTCATCCTCTTCATCAGTAGTGACATCCTGCTGGAGGGGAGGGAATGATTTAAATGGTGGCAAGGAAAAGATAATTAGTACTATCCAGAGTAAACAATGAAAAAAAGTAACATATGTAGTATCTTCAAGAACAGTAGTATGTCTTTCAGGATTTATCCTGAATGTTATGGGTTTTTTGTTTGTTTGGAATAAATTTTCAAATGAAAAACATTGGCATTAATCCTCTCTGATGTGAACATTTCAGACAAGGGTGAGAAAAGAAGATCTTATTTTTACACCAAAAGAGGTCAAATTGTAATTACTCGTTATGGCATATGGTTTGCCAAGAAAGCACACAGTGAAATCGGTTTTGCATAGAAGTTGTTACAATGTGTAAGTATTGATAGAATATTTATGGTAAAAATGAAGTTTTTAAGTAATTTTTAAAATAATTTTTAATAAACCCGGGGGCCTGGATTCACCCAACATTTCCTTTAGCCCTCCCCCCTCTCCCAGTGGCATCTGACAGAACATTTCTCACATCTTCATCCATATCTACCGTAAAAAAAAAAACCCCAGCTTGCTGGTCCCTCCTTTGATTACTTTCAGGCCACTAAGAAAATGACTAATCGATTGCTTTTTGGTATAGGCTATAACTGTGTCTCTAAAATATCCTTTGTTTGTGAGAACCAACCTTTTCAAATCTTGAAAAGAAAGGACCTAAGGCCAGAGGGAGGTTACCTTTCAAAGGAAGATCTATCAGAAAGGAAATAAAACCTGATGAATTCAATGATCTGGATTCTTATGAGTACTAGGTGGTAAACCGGATAGAGTGTCGGCCTGGAGTCAGGAAGACTCATCTTCTGAGTTCACATCTGGCCTCAGACACTTACTTAGTGACCCTGGGCAAATCACTTAATAACCCTGTTTACCTCAGTTTCCTCATCTGTAAAATAAGCTGGAAAAGGAAATGGCAAACCATTCCAATGTCTTTACCAAGAAAAGCCCAAATGGTGTCACAAAGAGTGGCACAAGATTGAAGCAACTGAACCACCACAACAAAGCTATTCCATTCCCAGTTGTAGCATGTCTTTGTGAAATTCACGATGCCCTTGAGATGCCAAAACCATGAATTTAGAAAAATTTAGAGTAAGTCAGTATTTAAGGTAGCTTTCTTGAAGTTTGAGTTATGTCTGGGCCTTACTTTGAATGACAGGTAAAACTTCATTATAACAAACACCATTACAAAGGACCATTCATTCTAACAGTATTTCCATGACTTGACGGCTGGCCCAAGAGCAACAGTGCTTTGATGATCTGATCACAAGGAATTGTGGCCCATAAGTACCCTGTACACCCAGGGATACAGAGTTGAGCAGAGCCTTTTTACTTTATTTTAAGTAGCTAATGTTTCTATGGTACTTTAAGGTTTACAAAGCATTAACAGATAAGAAAAATGAGGTTCAAAAAGATGAAGTGACATTCCAATCCAATGTCAATGGTAGGATGTGAACAGAGATCTCCTGACTCCCAGTCTTTCTCATCTCAAACTACTCATAGAAACTAAAACTTTAAAAATTAAAGATTTAGGATGATAAAAAGATGGATGTGATAACTGCATAACATCTTCCTTTTTTCTCCCAAATGGGTTCAAAACACTTCTTTTCTCTTAGAGAATCTAGAGAGGAGCTGTACTGAGTCCTATACACTAACAAAATGATTTATCACAATATCACAATAAGATTTTCCTTTTGATAATACAAAACTTCCTCTTTTGTATAGTAAGGCCAATATGCTCTTAAGTGTGAAATTTGTGTCAATGTTGAAATCTTCTCAGGTTTTCAGAAGAGGCTTTAGGCAGTAAAAAGCATTATTCCTCCCAAAATTAGCCCAGATCCTTCTCTGACACGAATGTTACAAATGTGTTTGGTTTCCCACCCCAGGCCCTGGACATTAGAAGCTTGGAGGGAACATAATACCCACGTTGTGAAAGAAGGATTAAGACTTGTTCTGCTTGGTCCAGCAGGGCCGATTAAGGATTAATTGCAAAGAAGCAAACTTGGGCTCGATCTCAGGAAACACTTCTAAATAATTAGAACTATTCCAAAGGGGATGGGCTGCCTTGGGAGGAGGACTTTTATTCAGGGGGTTTTCAGCAAAGACTACATAACCCACTTGTTAGGTGTGTGATAGAGGATTCTTTGTCAGGTATGAATAGGACTAGATAGTGACTAAGGTCGCTTCCCCTTCTGAAATCCCATAATTCTATAAGTTTGGTGACCATTCAAGAGCAATGATTAAAATATATATGGATATAATAATATATTATAATATGTAGCATATATTATATATAAAGAATAATATATGTATGATGGGAAGCTAAAACCAATAGGTTTTGTTTTCTATTTACCCATGAATTTCAGAGGTGAAGGGGGCATGTATGTGTACTTAGTGAAGCTGGTGGGTGGCCCAAAAGCACCTCTATCAAAGGGCAGAGAGCCTGCTCGCCCCCAAATCCTCCTGACTGAGCAGTATACAGATGCATTTCTGCATTATTATTATTACATACAGGATGCCCTCTATTAACCAAATTAGCAACCTTGGGAAGTCAAAGGTCAGCCTGAGTGTACGGTGTATACTTTATTGTAGCTTTCTATATTTTTGTATTTTGACTAATTCACAGTATCCACTTATTTCTGTCACAGTCAAGAGCCCTGGGAGCTAGCTTTGCTTACAAAGGCCTTGTACAACAACATTGCATGTATTGGAGTGCCTCTTTTTGAAGATATTATTTATGGTACTCCTTTTAAAATAAATCCTGGGAAAAAAACGGAGGATGTGCTACTCCCCACTGCAGAAAGTAAGCTCCTTAAATACTTCTAAATTATAAATTTTGTTACATTTTTCTTGTTGGTTAAAATGTTTTTAACTTAATCCAGATACTCTCTAACAAAAATGATGGAATGGATTTACAATCGCATACACACTCTACTGTTCTCTGGCTGAGTGCCCAGCACATAATGGTGGCTCAATAATGAAGACAAAACATCTTTATGATAAGTTTTCAGGATGTGATTGTCTAAGAGTGTAAAAAAAAACTGTTTTATACTAAATTATGTTTGACAAAAAGTCAATGAAATGATGTGTCTGTTTCCTATTTATCACGTTTGTCCCCTTCTCATTACTCACACAACCACCAGTCTAGTTCAGTCTCTCACCACATCTTCCCTAGACAATTACAGCTGCCTCCTAAATAGTCTCCCTGCCTCAAGTCCTCTCTCCTCTGGGTTCCATCTTCAGTTGTCCTGTGCTATGTCTTGCCACTACACCCCAGTGCCTCTGGAGGAGAGAGTGAGGCTGATTTTGAACAGCTCTGACTCACTTAAATCCAGTTCACTTGCAAGTCAAGACATCACCTTCCTGATGTCCTTGTTCCTCTTTGAGAATGAAGGACAAACAACCTCTCTGCTCTCCAACCCATTCTCCACACAGTTACCAAATTACTATTCCTTAAGCTTAGAGCAGGCCATCTCACTCCACTGCTTGATACACCCTGGGACCTTCCTATGGCCCCTGGGATCAAGCATAAACTCCATAATATGGCATTTAAGACCCTTCACATTCTACCTTCTGCCCATCTTTCCAGGTTTTTCCCCTTTATACACTCCTCAGCCCAACCAAATTGTTCTTTTTGCACAGATGATGTTCCATATTTTTTCTCTCCTTCAAATCTCTAGCTTCCTTCAAGATTCACCTCAAGTGCAAAGATTTTGCTAATCCCCACAGCTTCTAGTGCCTCACCCTTCCCCAGATTACTTTGTATATAACATGTATTCATATATGTTCCTATGTGTATGTGTTCCATCTAATTGAGTCTGAGCTCTCTCATGTCGGAAGCGGTTTTATTTTTAGCTTGGAATGATCAGTCTCTAGCCCAGTGCTGGGCACTCAGTAGCTACTCAATAAATACTTGATGCTTTGATTTTTATCTTTAGCAATAGAAATTGAAAAGGCGTACGAACTGAAGCATTTAAACGAAATTGAACTTCAGAAAAATGCAGCAGAGCAAATTCAGTCTTTGCTAAAAGACAAGAAAATTGGTTTGAGAAGACCTCTTCCACCCAAGAAGTGAAGATCACTTTACTGTTAGAGGCATGCTCCTTTGTCTCCCTATCCAAAGAGGATGAGGGGATCCAGACCATTCACCAGACTATATACCACTCAGTGCAGACCGTCATCGATAAGGAACATTCTTGTGGTGGATGAAAGAGTTCCCCCTGATGATACTTCATCTGGTGACCCAATGCACCAGCTTCACTATCCCCTCTTGAATCTTTCCTTTGGGCTCTCTGCCTCCAACACCGTAAGTTGTGCGTCAGCATTAGTTGAGACAATTGTACATATGCATTAGTGATTGTTTAGTGGGAAAGAGTCAGGTGTGGCAAAGTGTAATAGAGTCACAGCCTCAGAGCAGACCCACTGAGTGAGCCTGGCCAAACCATGAAGATTGCTAGGGGCAGGCAAAGGTCTGTCTGCATCAGCACAGGGAGTTTCTTCCCTGGGAGTTTTCTACAATTCACAATCTGGTTGTTTGTTTGTTTGTTTGTTTGTTTTTTGAGGCAATCAAGGGTTAAGTGACTTGCCCAGGATCACACAGCTAGTAAGGGTCTGAGGCCTCATTTGAACTCAAGTCCTCCTGACTCCAAGGCTGGTGCTCTATCCACTGCACCACCTAGCTACCCTGCATATATGTTATTAATTCGACTACTTGGTATAGTAGAGAGAGAACTAGCCTCAGTCTGCCACTTACCTGTTAGTTATATATTTGAAGGCACCACAATCTTCCCAGTCCCTCAGGTTCCCATCCCAGGAGCCATCTTGGACTCCTCAGCATCTTATCCCCCATATCCAAGCTGTTGTCAAGACCTGCCAATTTTGTAACATCTCTCAAATATGCCCCCTTCTCTCCTGACATTGTCCCTACCCTGGTGCAGGCCCTCTTTACCTCATGACTGCTGGTAGGTCCACTCCAACTTATCCTCTAACATCAAAGTGATTTTCCTAAATTCCAGGCCTGATCATGTCACCTTCTTACTCAATGAACTCCAGTGACTCTTTATTGCCTCCAGCATCAAATACAAAATGCTCTGTTTAGCACTCAAAGCCCTTCACTACCTAGCCCCCTCCTACCCTTCCAGTCTTCTTACACCTCAGTCCCCACCAGTGATCCAGTGACGCTGACCTTTTGACTATTTCACAGACAAGACACTCATCTCTCGGCTCTGGGCATTTTCGCTGGCTCTCCCGAATGCCTAGAACATTCTCCCTCTTCATCTATGACTGCTGGATTCCCTGATTTCCTTTCAGTCCCAGCTAAAATCCCACCTTCTACTGGAAGTATTTTCCAATGCCTCTTTGTTCAAGTGCCTTCTTTCTGTTAATTATTTCCTATAGGTAGTTTGTAAATATTTGTTTGCTTGTTGTCTCTGCCATTACATTGTGAACTCCTTGAGGGCAGGAACAATATTTTGCCTTTTTGTATCTTTAGCACTTAGCACAGTGCTTGGCACTTACTAGAGCATGTAATAAATGTTTATTGATTTTGTCACCCTGGGCAAATCCCTTAATCTTTCAATGTCCTGGGTGACTAAGACCATAAGTTGCATAAAAAGTGCCCATGATCTTCATTGGCATGGGAAGTAGCAATCATCTGGGGGCCCCAGGTATCAATGAAATAACAAATTCAGTCCATCACTACCGACCAACCTGCTATCCCCACGTTTCCCTCCCTTGTAACAAGTATGGATTATCTAGCAAAAATAAATCAACACACTGGAGATGTCTGAGAATGTACACCTCATCCTGCATCTGCAAAAATGCACGTCTCCGTAACCTTTCCGCCACTATTGTTCAATGCTTTGATTAGAGTTCTGATGTCTTTCAAAGTTGTCACAATGTACTCCTGATCCTATCCGTTTTGCTGCTTCAATCTGTATACATCTTTGAATCTGTCAGATTCGTCATTTCTTAAGGCATAATTAGATGTACCATTACATTCATACGCCACAATTTGTTCAGCTGTTCCCCAGCTGATGACCACTTTTTTGGCTTCCCATTATTTGCTACTACAAATAGTACAAAAATTGAGAAAATTATATTTTAGCAACACTTGGTAGCAGAGTAGAAAGAAACATTCCAGCTCAGCTCTACGACCACTACTATACAACTCACTTCTCTTTTTTTTTTGTTTTTTATTTTTTAATTAATTTATTTTGAATTATCAACAATCACTTCCATAAGCTTTTGAGTTTTTAATTTTTCTCCCCCTCCCTCCTTACCTTCTCCACAAGACGGCACGCAATCTGATATAGGCTATATAGATAGATAGATAGATAGAGATAGAGATAAATATAGATATATATAAAAACATATTTTCACATTAGTGATGTTGTAGGTAAGAATTAGAACCAATAGGAGGAACCACCAGAAAGAGGAAACAAAACACAACAGAAGAAAAAAGCGGCAAATAGTATGCTTTGACCTGCATTCAAACTCCATAGTTCTTTCTTTGGATGTGGATAGCGTTTTCCATCATGAGACCTTTGGAAATGTCTTAGATCCTTGTATTGCTGAAAAGGGTTAAGTCCATCAATATTAGTCATCACACAACGTGGCTGTTACTGTGTACAATGTTCTCCTGGTTCTATTCATTTCATTCAGCATCAGACCATACAAGTCTTTCCAGGTTTTTCTGAAGTCAGCCTGTTCATCATTTCTTATAGCACAATAGTATCACTTCTCTTTTTTAAAAAAATTATTTATTTATTTTTAGTTTTCAACATTCACTTTTACAAGATTTTGAGTTCCAATTTTTTTCTCCCTCTTTCCCTCTCCCCTCTCCAAGATGGCAATCTGATATAGCCTACACATGTACAACCATATTAAACCTATTTTCACATCAGTTGTGTTGTGAAAGAAGAATCAAAACAAAAGGGAAAAACCATGAGAAAAAAAAAAAACAAAAAAAATGTGAAAATAGTATGCTTCGATGTGCATTCAGACTCCATGATTCTTTCTCTGGATGTGGATAGCATTTTCCATCATGAGTCTTTTGGAATTGTCTTAGATCACTGTGTTTCTGAGAAGAGCCAAGTCTATCAAAGTTGATCACCACACAATATAACTCACTTCTCTTGATGGGACACAGATCCCCAGAGGGACAAAAGTAAAAGACTTCAGTTAGCTTGTTGTAGAAGAAAAGGACATCAATGGGGTGTTAGAAACAAAAATAAAAAGTCTTCCTCTCCCTGGAAAAGGCTTAGTTCAAACTAGGCTTGTTCCACCAGAGGAAAGGCAACCTCAGATTTAACCGAGGTTTAAAGAAAAGGTCTCGCTTTCCTCTCTTCTCCTAAGGAAAAGGCTTCAACTAAGACAAATCCCAGAAGGAGGGAGGAGCCTCAGTGTCTAGGGTGAAGGAAAGGGGTCAGGTGGAAGGAAGAAGGTCCTAACTTAGTTTCACTTCTGAAGGAAGAGGCTGTCTAGGCAAAGCAAAGTCCCCTGGGGACAAAGGAAAGGGCTTCAGCATAGACTGACCCTGGGAGTAGAGAAGAATTCAGCTCCTGAGACCTCCACACCAAAAATGAATAAAAATAAATGAATCAATAAATGATGTATGATGCCAGGGAAGACTTAAAAACACACAGAATAACTCCAGAATACCTACAATGAAATACTCAAAGGAAAAAAAAACACAACTTGCCCACAAGAATAATTAAAACTCCTAGAAAAAATGAGGCACAACTTAGTTTTTAAGAAGTATTATAAAAAAAAATGAGAACCATGGTGGAGAAACTTGGAGTTGGGGTTGGGGGGCAGATCAAGAGGTTGACACAAGAGATACAAAATCTAACATTAGTAATTCCCTAAAAATTAAAATGGACCAAATAGAAGATAATGTTTCTAGGAGTCAAAGAGAATTATTAAAAGAAAGTTCAAAATCGAGAAAATAAAGGAAAATGTAACATATTTGGAAAATAGATCAAGAAATAATGAGAATAATTGAGAATTGCCATTTTGGGGTTTCTTTCAGAAGGTGATTGGTAGATTTTTATCTATTTTCACGTTGTGCTCTTGTTTTAATAATAGAACACAATGTAAAAATAGAAGAATCCACTTATCACCTCCTAAAAGAAACCCCCAAATGAAACTCACAGGAAGTAACACACCCAAATTCCAGAGTCTCCACATAAGAGGAAAAAGTGCTATAAGCAGTCAGAAAGAAGAAATTCAAATGTCAAGGAATCATAGCCAGGAATTACACAAACTTTGTCAACTACTCTATGGAGGAACAGCATACATGGAATGAGATGTAACAAAAGGCAAAAGTTTGGCCTACAAAAATAACTTACCCACAAAAGCTACACCAATATAAGGCCTCTATCCCAAAGAGATCAAAGAAAGAAGAAAAAAGTCATATATGGACAAAAATATTTGTATACTAAAAGGATACTCATCAATTGGGAAATGAGAAGATCTTGTGTTATGCCAGAAAATGGAATTTATCACACTATTTGTGTGAGAAATAAGGAAAAGGATGATTTCAAGAAGATACGGATATTAATAAAAATAAAAATTTTTTAAAAAGACACAGACTCTTATGAACTGAATTAGAGTGAAATGAGCAGAACCAAAGGAACAATTTAAATTAAAACATTAGTATTATATAAATGAACAATTTTGAAAGATTTAATGAATTGGAGAAATTATATAAGTCATAACTTGCAAGGTTGAAATTTTTGATCGCTGATAATTTCAAAGGACTGAGAAAAAAGAATGCTATCCACCTCGATAGTGCAGTGTAAGAAATTCACTTTTAGAGGAGGTAACCAATATGGGAATATGTTCTAATTAACTATATTTATGAAACATAGGGGTTCTGTAATTTTTTTCAGGGAATGAGGGGAGGGGGAAGAGGGGGAAAACTTGATAATTGGAGAATAATTATAAAAATATTTTTAAACCAGTTTCCAAAGATTTGGTTTAAGAAACCCCCAAATGAACCAATATTAACCATATGTAAGTCTTATTCCCTAACTCCCTAATCCTAATTTATAAAGTTTGTTGAGATAAGTGGCCCAGTGGTATGAATTAATGAGCTTCCAACCGAGATTATAACTTTTGAAAATAAATAACATAGGAATACACAACGTGCTTTCCTTAAAAAAAAAAAAGGGGGGCCAAAATGTCTTGATTATTGTAATTATTGATTATTTAATTAAATAATCATTGATTATTTTTGTCCAGAGGAAGTATGATTTTAGTTATTCTCTTACTCATATTTAATATCAAATCCCTTAGTTTTATGAATGGAAAGTGTAAATCATGTATTTACAATGCCCTAATTCTCTCTTTTTTCCCCAGACATACTTTAAATGGCACATAAATGAAAATAAAACAAAAAAAGAAGAATCCTGCTTGTGAAGCATCATAGGAAGTGCTATATCCACCATAACCTAGCTGTTCTGCAGCAGAATCATACTTGCTCAAAAGATGGTGGTTGTACCATGATTACACATTGATCTCGAGCAGCTCAAGACAGGTGCTTAGAATGAGCTAATACAGAATTTCTTACGTGTTGGTTTCCTGTTAGGAGTTTTAGTGTCACAGATGAAGCAGCTGTGTCCCATTTTTAATTAAGAAAGTGAGAATACAGTTCCCTGTGCTTTCCTTGGCAAAACTCCTGAAGAATTTCTTCCTTAAAAAAAAAAAGTTCAAATGAAGATTCCTTGGAAAAAAAATTAAAATGTGCATTTATAATAATTTTTAACCTAACAAAATGCGAGTAAAATACAAAAAACCAAACCCTGAACTGCTTCAACTAGTTTGGTGATACCTTCGCAGTTAGAGTAAACCACTTGGATAAATTTTCATGATTCAAAATTCCTGAATGTAGCTTCCAGGGACAGGGCTTTGCTGCAATTGAATATTTTAAATGATTCCAGGGGTGGGGAACCTGAGGCCTTGAAGCCACATGTGGCCTTCTAGGTCCTTGGATGCAGCCTTTTGTCTGAGTCCAAGTTTTACAGAACAAATCCTTTCTTAAGGGGATTTGTTCTGTGAAGTTTGGTCTCAATCAAAGAGCTGCACTTGAGGACCTAGAGGGCTACATGTTACCTCTAGGGCCACATTTGAGGACCTAGAGGACTATGTGTGGCCTCAAGGTCACAGGCTCCCCATCCAAGGATTAGACCTACTCTATCTTCCCATGAAAAGGAAATCTAGTCTAGAATAAGACACTTGCCTGCAGCTCAGGGCATGGACCAAGTTTTGTTGAGTGGTAGTCTATGGGTTTAGAGACCTACTAATTTTTTACTTCTCATTTTCTTCATTTTCCCATTCTTTTCCACTTTGTTCTTTGCACTCATTTATATGAGTTTGACCTTCATCTGATCTGTTCCCATGATTGATATGACTGGTGTGGCAACATGTCAATGACATTGTGAGGATTGGTCTATTGCTGGACCCTAGATAACAGAAGTGACTCTATGTCTGCCCACTGATTGATCCATCTAAGTACCCAACAACTAGCTTGGTCTGCTGCATTTAGCAATGCAAGGTTAGCAGACTATCAGGTTAGCAAAATTCATCTAATCCAAGTGTGTAAGTTTGTCAAACTTGACTAATTACAGTGTCCTTGTGGTTGATAAGGGGAATCACTGCCCAGACCATCGGCAGATTGACTGCTCCTATGGTCCCGTCTCACTCAGTCCATGTGAATCTACCCAGCATCGACAGTCATACATAAGGGCAGAGACCAAAGTTATCTAAGACACCCACCGATGTGCACCCATGGGACTGAAGGGTGAAAACACTATACAAACAGAAAGGCCTGTGAGTAATAAACTACCTGATTTTTGATCATCTGAGTGCTTATGTTCCTTCTATGTACCTCCTCATTCACAATGCCCTCATGATCACTAAAAATATGAAAAAAAGTGTGACCCTGGGCAAGTCACTTAACCCCATTTGCCTCACCAAAACAAACAAAATATGAAAAAGTATAGCTATTAAATTAGCAACCACAGAATTTTCCCTGTTTTATTGTCAAGTCTTAGTTCTTCATTATTAACAGTTTTAATGAATAGCAAAGACAATTCTTTGTGTACTGGCCTATATTTTAGACTGATGATAATCATGTTTTTAGTTTTTAAGCACAAAGTTTACTTAATCCTCAACTCACTGAATAGGCCTGTACTACTATTTCTCTTTGAGGTTACTATCTATGATCTGTCCAAATGAGGGGGAATGGTTGAATCAGCCAATAATTAGTGATTTCTTAGAAAAATCTTTTTTAAGCTAAAGCCCACAAATTTAATCTCTATTTTGTAATATTGCTACTTCAAATATTTTTAAAAATTTTTTTTAGGCAATTGGGGTTAAGTGACTTGCCCAGGGTCACACAGCTAGTAAGTATCAAGTGTTTGGTCTTCATATATTTTTAATAATTATTTTTTTCAAACCTTAAAAATATTTCCCTTAGTCTAAGGCAACTCTGAAAGACTCACAATAGAAAATGTTATGCACATCCAGAGAAAGAACTATGGAGTATGAATGCAGATTGAAGCACACTATTTACTCTTTTAGATAAAATGGACAATTCTGATTATGTAAATTTGAAAAGTTTTTGCACAAACAAAACAATACAGCTAAAGTTAGAAGGGAAACAGTAAACTAGAAAAATATCTTTGCAACAAATTTCTCTGATAAAGGTCTCATTTCCAAGTTGTATAAGGAACAGATTTAAATTTATTCAAATTTATTAGAGCTGTTCCTCAACTGATAGATGGTCAAAGCATATGAGCAGCAGTTCTCTAAAGAAGACATTGTATCTGTTAATAAGCATTTGTTTAAAAAAAATCTTCAAATTGCTACTGGAGAAATGAAAATTCAAAGAAAATTAAAACTCTGATTATTTTCCTCATGCCCATCATATTGGCAAAAAAACAACAAAAGTTGGATTAGCTGCAGAAAAACATGTATGTCAATGTACCTTGAACTGTGAATTGGGCCTGGTCAGTCTACAGAGCAATCATGCCCAAGAAGCTAGGGTGGTTAGGTGGTGCAGTGGATAGAGTGCCAGGCCTGGAGTCAGGAAGACTCATCTTCCTAAATTCAAATGTGGCCTCAGACATTTACTAGCTGTGTGTCCCTGGACAAGTCACTTAACTCTGTTTGCCTCAGTTTCCTCATATGTAAAATGAACTGGAGAAGGAAATGGCAAACCTTTCCTGACCCTAAATGGGGTCATGAAGAGTTGGATTGTACAATGACAATCGCCACAGTATGAGCTAGAGTCACTCTGTTAGCCTCTCCCTTCCTTCTGAGGCTTCTTTCCAGTTTTTCCTAATGGTAACCATTAAACCCTGAAGGAGAGGGTCCCCCATGTCCTTGTCCAGAGAAGCACCTATGAATATGTTCATGGCCCAGACCCACTGAAGTACAGGTTATAGGGCTGCTTTCAAACTCAGCTGCCTTTCAAGAGAGAAACACTAGATTGTAGAGTCAGGGACATAATTTCCACTTCATCCCTAAACTCCATTCTACTTAAAAAGATGTCTCTCTCCAAGAGCTTTGGACTCAGTGCACATAGACTGGCATGTTAAATAAGGATGGCACTATCTTCATGAGAAGTTTAAAGAAAGTTGGAGTAGGTCTCTCAAATTCCCATTTGGACTTGGAAGCCAGGTCCTAATTGGTAGTAGAAAGGTTTCTGGGATGCAACAATGCAGTGACTTTTTTTTTAATAGTGAACCTGACTTCCTGGGGTAACTGAATCAGTCTCCAGGCAGAGTTAACACCATCCTGGAGAAACTCAATATTCCAGTATTTGGAAAAGGCAAAATCAACAGGAAAGGGGAGGAAAATTGACATTTCTGAAGATCCCCTTGTTTTTCAGATTGTTAGTCCTTTAAAAAACAACAACGACAATAATACTTCTCCCATTCCATCACACATCCTGATCCCTATTTTGTGAACAGGGCCATTCTTAGAGGTAGCACAGGAACTCCATGAGGAATTAGAAAGGGTTTCTTAATTTGGATAATATAGCAATGACATGAAGAATAAAGTTTTGTTTATTTAACATGTGGCCTCTGTACTAAATCACTTCATTTTCTATCAGCTTTAGTGGGAAGTTAACATACATACATATGTATATGTGTATATGTGTGTGTGTATACATATATATATATGTATACACACACACACACACACACACACATATATACATGTATATAAGATTTTTTTTTTGCTTAGGCAATTGGGGTTAAGTAACTTGCCCAGGGTCACATAGCTAGTGTCATGTGTCTGAGACTGGATTTGAACTCAGGTGCTTCTGACTCCAAGGCTAAAGCTCTATCCATTGAGCCACCTAGCTGCCCCTAACATATATTTTAAAAACGTAAATCTGAATTCTCTCAAATTTTTATTTTTTAAAAATTAGAGCGGGGTTGTTTTCTCCAAAGGACCAACCAGCCTCCATTCAAGTCAGATGATTAATTAGCCAGGACTTTAACATCCCCGCTGCCTAATGTTGAGTCAGTTGGTGATCATAAGGCCTCTTTCAGGAAAACTTCCTGGATTACAAAATTATGGTTTCCATGCTCCTGGGAAAGTCTCTCTGATTCCAGGTGATTTTCAGAAGGGCAAAATTTTAGCTTAGTAGAAGAATTCCCTTCCTGGATCACTGCCTTGTCATGGCAGAAGCGCTTGTGCAGCTCAATGAAACTATAAGTTATACTCTGCAGGGTTACCCAAGACAGGTCATAGTGGAGAGTTCTGACAAAAGGTAATCCACTGGAGAAGGAAATGGTAAACCACTCCAGTATCTTTGCCAAGAAAACTCCATGGACAGCATTAAAATGATAAAAGATTTGAGACTATAAGATGAGCCCCTTAGGTCAGAAGGTGTCCAATACATTACTGGGGAAGAGCAGAGGACAATTACAAGTGTAGCTGTAGAAAGAATGAAGTGGCTGAGCCAAAGCCAAAAGGAAGTTCAGCTGTGGATATGTCTGGTGACAAAAGGAGAATCTAATGGTATAAAATCGGTATTGCATAAGAATCTGGAATGTAAGATCTATGAACCAAGGTCAACTGGATGTGGGCAACTAGGGGGTGCAATGGATAGAGCAGTGGGCTTGGAATCTGGAAGATACATCTTCTAGAGTTCAAATCCAGTCTCATACACTTACTAGCATGTGACCCTGGGCAAATCACCTTGCCTTATTTGCCTCTGTTTCTTCATCTGTCAAATGAACTGGAGAAGAAAATGGCAAACCACTCCAGTATCTTTGCCAAGAAAACCCCAAACTGGGTCATGAAGAGTGGGACACAACTGAAACAACTCAACAACAACAAAGCAGGATGTGATGAAGCAGGAGATGGACAGGTTTTTCTTGTTTGGTTCAAATCAAAAAGCAGAATTAAGGTTGCCAGAAGAAATATCAATAATCTCATACCACTTTAATGGCAGAAAGTGAAGAATTAAGAAGCCTCTTGATGAAGGTGAAGGAGGAGAATTTAAAAGCTAGCTTGAAATTTAACAATAAAAAAACCATCATGGCAAGTGGTCCCATTACTTCCCAGCAAACAGAGGGAGAAGAAATGGAAGCAGTGTCAGATTTTATGTTCTTGAGCTCAAAGATCACAGTAGATGGCGACTGCAGAGATATAACCTTGCCAACTAAGGTCCATAAAGTCATAGCTATATTTTTTTCCAGAGGCTGTGTTTTCCAGAAAGCTGAACACCACAGAATCGATGCTTTTGATTTGTGGTGCTGGAGAAGACTTTTGACAGCAAGGAGATCAAATCAGTTAATACTTAAAGAAATTTCTTGTTCAGACTACACACTGGAAGGACAAATGCTGAAGCTGAAGCTTAAATACTTTGACCACATAATGAGAAGACAGGACTCACTGGAAAAGACCCTGATGGTGGGAAAGATTGAAGGCAAAAGAAGGGGACAGCACAGAGTGATATAGATAGTGTCATGGAAGAAACAAATACGAATTTGGATAGACTTCAGGAGATAGTGGAGGATAGAAGGGCATGGTATGCTATAGTCCATGGCGTCATGAAGAGCTAGAGACAACTGAATGACTGAACAACAATAGAAGAATTATAAACTTTGTTTGGAGTTTACAGCAATGGGTTGACCTGAACATCTCTTTAAAAGAACATCGACTACGGAAATACAAATGGAGTGACAATGTCATGTGCAGTTCCACATAGCCAACAAAAAACCTCTGTTATATCTAATAGATGTCTATATTTAACATGTCTATTTCTATATGGTCATTCTCAAACTGAGCTCTTAAATGGGAAATTCACAATTTGAGGATAAAATTTCATTTTTTATAAAAGAAAAAAGAAATTAGAATGGAAGCAGCTAACTAGGAAAAAAAATTGTGGCAAATTTCTGATAAAGGTGTCATATCCAAGATATATAAGGAATTGATTCAAACATATGATTAATATATAAGAACAAATGTCCTCCAATTGATAAATATTCAAAGGCTATGAAGAAGAAATTTTCAAAGGAAAAACCTAAGCTATCAACAATCATATGAAGAAATTGCTCCAAATGCTTAATAATTAGAGTAATGTAAGTTTGAGGCTCTATCTCACACTCGTCAGGTTGGCAAAGATGAAGGAAATAATAAATGTTGGTGAGTCTGAGGGAAGAAAAGCACCATAATGCATTGTTGATAGAGTTGTGAACTGATTCAGCCATTTTGGAAAGCAATTTGAAGTTATGCCCCCAAGTCACTAAACTGTGCATACCCTTTGACTCAGTGATACTACTACTAAACTTGTGTTCCAAAGAGATCAAAATAAAA